TAATGTTCTTAAGTGGAGAAGGCAGGACAGGAAAATCACACGTCACTGCTCCAATCCAAACTTTTTCCGATGCTTGACAAAGACCAAAAGCTATTGCAAAGACAGCGCTTACTGGAAAAGTCGCAGTGATAATTTATGGTGCTACAATTCACAGTTGGATAGGTATGCATAATTTTGAAAAAGAACACTTTTTCGAACAACGTAGTGCAAATTTCAAAGGAGTTCCAGATTATTCAATAGAACTGCAACTCCTTATAATTCATGAAATTAGTATGATGAACAAAGAACGAATTGTCAAATTAGATATGGCATTACGAGCAGAAAAAAAATTGGATTTACCCTTCGGAGGATTACACATTATTTTTTCAGGAGATTGGTTTAAAATGCCACCAGTTATGGGTAAACCACTATATGAACAACCATCAAAAAAATATAAATGCAATTCATTCGATGTTGAAGGCTTTAAACTTTGACGTCTTTTCAAAACAATCATCATTTTCGATGAAAGCGTTCGTTTCAAATCAGATCCCCCTTGGGGAGAAGGATGTTCAAGAGCTCGCAAGGGCATTTGGACTAATGAGTTCATTTAAATTATTAACTTACGACTACATTCTTCTCATCCACACCAAGATTCACTACCATCTAAGTTACAAAACACTAATAAAACACCAATATACGCAACACCAGACAATGACACGCATACAAACATCATTTATTTTTATATTCACGAGTTAGCAAAACAATTGCCTGAAAATCATTACTCAATACGTATTGTTGCAAATTTTGGCAAAAAATTTAAAAATAAAAATGCACATGATGTTCGTTTCATAATGTCCCTCCCCGACAACATGTTAGGACGCTATGCACCATTTTTAGATCTTATTTCAGACATGTCAATTGTATTCATCCAAAATGTCGATCCTTATAGGGGCATTGCCAACGGCACATTCGAAATTTTGCATTCGTTATAATTTAATCTAATTACACAATTCCGACTTATTTTTGACACAGCAACATCTATTCATGTGTTGTTCCCAAATCAACCTCCTCAACTTGCCTTAGTTCGAATTCCAAACAGAAAAGGATTCGAATTCCAAACAGAAAAGGATTCGAATTATTCTCATTCGCATCAAATGCTCAACTACCTCAAGATATTTACCTATTTTTCTTCGAACGTTCAAAACGATCAGTCACTGTATCATTACTACACATTCCATTTTCACCACAACGCACTTGCACATTATATCCAAAACAATTCTCTTTCATTTCCGCAATCGTTTTCACACTTTATAAAGTCCAAGGAGAAACCCTAACATCAATGATTCTTGCATACTGGAAAGCTTTATCGACACGAGAAATGAGAAAAAAAAACGTACCACAACAAGGATATATTGCAGTATCTCGTGTAATAAACCGCTACGCTTTCACAACCCTCAAACCATTAACCAAATCACTCACAAAATTCTTCAAACCTGACGACAACGTATTACGTGAAGATGACAGACTTACAAAGATTGCAACAAACCTATTCCAATCTGACTTCATACAGAACACGTTTCAAAAAACATCTTCTAAATCATTCATAGACGATAAAAATAAACAATCATACACAACAAACTTACAACAATTGTCGATACAACCTTAAACAAAATTCAAACAACTATTAATTTCTCCAATAATAAAAGTCAACATCAATATACCAAACTTGATTTGTTTGTTCGATGATCCAGATATAACAACACATCCAAACAACATCACTTTTCGTAACTTAACAATCAATTTTTCAAACTCCAACTTTACAACATAACAAATATATTGATACAAATTCAGACGACGAAAACGTTGTTCCAATATCAATTGATTCAAAATCATGTTTATACATTACACTACATGAGCATTATATGCTCGTAGATATTCCCATAAACAGTTATGCAGAATTAATCATGGATAAATCAACAACGATCTTCATAGCAAACACATTCGCATACAGCCAATGAATAACAAAAAATGATTACCCTTGCATTGATCGACAAATCCAAAAAAGAAATAGATTTCGGTCATTCGCCACACTCACACATTTTTTTATACCAATAAACATTAACAATACTCATTGGACACTTTAATATTTAAATCTTGAAACACAAACTATATATTACTATGACAGTCTTTCCACTACTGATACAACATTTTTCTCCAACATCAAAAGATGGCTAGCAACTAAAACAGATTGTTTAAGCATACTAAAAAATGCAGAAACACATATCTTACAAGAACCACAACAAACTAATTCACACGATTGCGGTGTTTTTGTCCTCGTTATGCTTCGCTATCTTATGCTACTTAACCCACTTTCACATATCAATGATTTATGTCAAAAAGACATGCCTTTATATAGGGCATTCAAACTTTGTCTTTATACACTCAACAAAATTACACCACACCCACACTCCACAACCACCTATCCACCACAACTACTTTGTGAAACATAAAAAAACTAATAATTATATATAAAACAACACTAATCATCAACAATTATGTTAACACAAATAACAACCACACTCCAACACTCGACTACAAGCCATGCGGAGAACAAGATTCAAGGACCATCGACTCAAAACCAAGTATAAATAAAGGTATGTCAAATATTCATATAACATTTCAAAAATCAAGTACATCTTTCATACACATACACACATAACCAACATGCTTGTTCTCTTTCAAAACACAACTTAACGTCCGCAAACTTGCCATTCTACATCTCTGTCTCTCTCACTCTTTCACAAAAAAAAAAAAAAAAAAAAACATGTACTCATACATACACTCAGAAAACTCTCTCTCTCTCTCTCTCTCTCTCAC